TTATGTAGCGCCTGAGGTTTTTCATGATAAGATACATACAAAGGCTGCAGACATTTATTCATTCGGAATGGTTATTTACGAAGTATTTTCTGGCGTTGTTCCTTTTAGAAATGTTGATTGTGAAAATGAAGAAGAAAGTAAATCCCTTGCAATTGAAATCTGTAACGGGAAGCGACCAGAAATTCAATATCTGCCTCCTTTAATAGCTGAATTGATAAAAAAATGTTGGGATGCTAATCCAGCAAGACGACCATCCACAGAAGACTTATGTAAAATTTTAAATGCTTGGAAAAAATTTGCATCCAATTCCGAACTTGACAAGCAAATTAATGCAAGCGAAGAGAATCAGAGGCGTCAATCACTTGGTCGTACAAGTGAACAAATTCATACAAGTCAACTTCTTCGTACAAGCAAACTTCTTGATTTTAAGAATCTTCCACAACCCAAAAATTCCGAAATTGAGCAAAGTTTTATAAGGCGATTTTTTTATTTCATCTACGGCCGAAAAATTAATGCTTTAGATAAATAAATACATACCATTTATTAATTGATTTGTATAAAATTAATTTTAAAGAATTTTTAAAATTTTCAAAAACTTTATTTTTTTATAAAATTTATGTTTTTAATAAAATTCAACTAAATTTTAAGTTAATTATTAAATAATTTTTTGTACTAAATAATAAAAAATAATTATTATATTATTTTTATATTAATTTTTTTTTAAGGCTAAGTTGCGATACACACATGGATTTTATTGATGTTTCAATTATGATCACAATTATCTATACATGAACAGTCTACTAGCTATTGCTAATGTTAACCCACACAACCCATCCTTTTTACTAGAATACTAATTAATACCTGGAGATGGATCCATATCCTGACTTTTATCACTATGTGATAGTCCTATAACTGCCTAGGTAAGTACCTATCACATCGTGCCTTCACTGTGCACATGTCACATTTGATAACAGGAACCTTCGACACAAGTATACACTCCCTAGTGAATGCTCCAGTTTTTACTGCTGATTGGCACTAACTACTAAATCTAGGGGCCATTTTGGCCTAGTGAGGCATGACTCCTTAAAAGGCTTTTCCTTAAACTTCTAGTAGACACTTCAGATGGGCCAGTTGGCATATGCTGCCAAATCTAGGGGTATAAATATCAAGCAGGGTGCAACTTCTGTACACTCTGTCTTGCCACATAGAAGCCAAACCAGGAATGCAGGTGGTTCCAGTTTCATTGCACTAGCTTCAAGGTCTTCTTACTTCGGTAATTAAGTCTTATTATTATAGAACAATTTCTGATGATTATCATGCTTCAACCAGATGATCATTGCACTGCGTCACCTTTTTCTGAAGATAACAATCTCAACACCTGCTAGATCAGCATATGAAACAGCTTCACATAAGAAACTGCACATAATAGGTTATGGTGGCAGATACTATATAGGTTCTATTCAATCACCTTTATCTGGGATTAAACTAGTATCTTGTGATCTGATCTGTAAAGTATTAACTACTATATTATAGATCTACAGATCTATTTTATTATTTTTATTATGACTTTTATTTAATAAATTTATATATTGAAATAATTTTATTAATTTTTATTATTTCTATTTTGTAATGTAAATTAAAATTAATAAACTTGTTTTTTAAATTCTTAAATATATTAATATAGATTTTTATCTTATTTTATTGATATGTTATTAAGATATTACAAAAACAAAAATTGATATTGTTAATGTCTCTCTCAATGAGTCTGTCACTTCTCACATAATGTCAGCTAAGGGTTTGGCTTCTCTATTTAAGATGTATGAATTGTTTAGTCAAGTTTTACTAACACTTTTGTTCTCTTTCCATTGTTTGCTTCTCATGACAAATCTTTATCACTTTTTTTTTGTGGTCCCAGTTGTTCTATTTTGTAACAAGTATAGGATTAGGTAGGTTAATTAGAATTTACTTGGTTAGGTAATGATAATGACACATAGGGATCAAAGTTTTAAACTGAAAACCAATTGATCCACAAATTGGTTTTGGTTCAGATCAGTTTGGTTTTTAAAATTTTTAAACTGATAAAAATCAGATCAGATTAGTTTTAAAATTTTATAAACTGATCAAATCAGAACCAGATTGGTTTTGATTCAAATCAAAACTGATTTTGATTTTTTATCTTTTATATTTAAATAGAAACAAAAATAGAAAAATTAAATTAAAATGAAATATATAAAGTAATAAAATATAATCAAAAATTTTTTACAACTTGATTTTTTTACAATGTAGAGTTATAAATAAAAAACTTTTTAACAATTTTATTTTTGCTGTTTTTATCATTCCTTTATATTTTAGTAAGTTTGTTTAATACTAATATTTTTTTTATTCTATAAATTATTGTTTGATTTCTTATCAATAATTTTTTTAGCAATTTTTTTAAAATAGAACATAAAAATTTTTCTGACAGTTTTAATTTTCAATATATTAATGATGAAACTAGCAGCTTAATTAGTCATGAAAACAGCAATAAAAGTAATATTATTACAAGTAATTTATTAGAAACAGTATTGTTTTCTACAATAACAAACTGAAGCAAAGTATGGAGTCATTTTATGAAAGATTTGAATTTTAAAAATACTAAAAAAGCAATTTGTAACTATTGCAATACTATATATGTTTGTAGTGGAGACAGTACTACTAATATACAGTGCCCCCCAATAAATGAAGGACCACTTAAAAATTATTAAAATTAATCGGAAATAGTTTCTATATTT